GCAACTATTTTGATTAAATAAATTTGTTAAAAATTTAAAAAATAAACAATTTAGATTTTCAGTACAAATCGGCAATTTCATACTTTAACCCCTATTATTATAAAGGAACTACGACCTTGATGGTGCTGTGGTTGTTAACACTAAATCTATTGTTAACACCGTGGGCGCTAGGTGAGGAGGTCTCGGAGAGGCAACCAAACTTTTGTAAATTGCTTCTGATCTGGGTGTTCGAGTTAGTGCCCCGGAGTTCTTTGCTCTGGTACTCCTATTACAGGGAATTTCTTAATTTAAGACCGATAATCGGTGTGTTTGTTTAGCACTATTATATTACTAGATATTATTGTGTTACTACAGACGAAGTTGACATCTTTCATGATTCACTATTTATATTGAAACGGATTGTCACAACTGCTATGGATGGAGTCTTAAGGGGTTTTGTTTGATAATCTCTTAAATATTTTTGTTTTCTTTTTTTATATATTGTTTTCATTTTCTTTTTAAATTAAAGTGTTTCATGTTATCTTGCGTAATTGCTGTATACGCCTATAATGGGGTACAATATACTGTATAAAAATTTGTATGATAAAACAGTGTAAGTTTTTTTTGTTTTAGATGGATTCTTGTCCACTTAATGCAGCTAAAGTAGAAAATGTGTGTAGTAACATATACAATAAAATGCCTCTGTAGCAGTAGAGCTCTTTGTGAAAGGCTTTGTCCAGGGAAGTGCAACTTCTGCCGCCAAGCAGTAATGTTAAGCAGTTAGTATTAATGTGTTCCGGTTTTGAAAGGGGGTGCTGGTGAAAGTATAGGCACAAGGGACTTGTCAACTTATGTCTCAGGGGGACGGGCGCGGTGGCAGGACCTCTCAGATCTTTGCAATTTAAAGGTCTGAATGGCACTGCAACTGTTATGGACAGACGTGTCGCTTATCGCCAGGCGCAAGAATTGTTTAACCCTGTCACTTAGTATCATAAAAAATGCCAAAAAACAGGCGGAAGAAATAAGATAAAATACAGTATATTATCATGTATATACTGTATATTATATTAATGCTAAATGCGCAATCTTTCGCTTCTTTATCTAAAAGATCAAAGGAAATGTAACGTAACTAAGCCAATTTCCTGAAAGATTAAAAAAGAAAACATATCAAATAAAAACTACCTATATTACCTATCTCACTCACGAGAAAATAAACTCTAACAAAACCAACCGAGAAGTTATCATTTGAAAGCCAAAATAAAATTCAGTTTTTAAACTTAATCAAACTGAAGTGAAATAAATAATTACTTTCTTGATTAAGTTATAAATTTAAATTGTTAGCTTGGAAATCAAAGTACCTACCTTTATTGTTTCATTGTAGAAAATTATTTATCGTAAGTGAAGTTAATGAGTGGTATTTTTTTCGTGCCAATTTTCGTTCGTGCATTAATCACACAACACAATAATAAAATGCGGCTATTCGACCACGCTCTTGTATACGTGTACGGTCAGAGGTCGAATATATTATTCGTTGCTTAAGTCATTTATATTATCGTAGAAGTCAGTTAACTTTTGTATCTGTTCTATTTTCTAGCCATATTCGACATAGTATGTTTAATAACAAAACGTTGCTAGGCAACCAATGATGGCATACGAAAATATTTTTTTTTCAAAGCTCGTTATTTAGGCTTGCTCTACCCACAACCTTTTGGATTGGTAAGTAGGTAATTGGGTTTTGTACAAGTAATATTTTCCTGGCCAATTATTATAAAGTTTACAAGGTACCCATTGCGATACAATATAATTTAAGAATAAAACCATTAGGTTTTCGATACCTATTAATGCAACGATATCTGTGTACTAGCGTACTAGATGCGGCGTTCCATACCCACACTGTGTTTCACTGCTGTGCGGTTGCGACACAACACTTCAATATCGTAGATTGATGAGCAACAGAGTGTTCTGACTACACAATAACAGAAAATGTAGAACATGGATAAAACAGGTACTATGCTTACCATCTTGGGTTACCTTAATTATATTTAAAAAATATGAATAAGACTAGGCTGCATGGTCTGTCGTGGTGAATGTTCACTGATCCCACGGCGCCGACTCAACCGGCGAGAGCGAAACCCGGGGGGGTTTTAGTGGGGTAGGCCTTCCAGTGTGGAGGGAGAGTCCCCACATAACCCCTGAGTCTTCCTGGGCTCAGGGGTATCCATAAAGATTCCCCCCCGTCAAAAAAAAAAACAAAAAAACAAAAAAAGGCTGCATGGTCTAAAGATCTTTGCCTTTCCGCAAGGAAAAGTACTACGCTAACGCTAACGCTAAAACAAAACACTATCACTATTGATAGTGTTTTGTTTGAAATAATATATCGTTTCTGTGAATGTTTTTGTCTATAAAACTGAAGTCGTTGCAAAATTGTAAGATTTTTTCTATATCTTAATTTATTACATGTCATCCAGCATCAATTTACGATTCTGGACTTGAATAACTACCCGAATTAGAAATGTTGCAAACATTCAACATCTCTACTTTGAAATGTGCGGTAAATAAAATAGATAATGACATCACAATCCACAAGGAAGTAACGCGTTTCAACTTGTATTTTTACGTAAATATTCACTAAAACCATTGACTTACAAATAAATGGACGACGGGTCTAATACAAAAACCACGAAAAAAATGTCCTAAGTCAACCTATTCGAAATTTAAATTGTTATGTCATCGCAGTATCGCGCTGTCCGTAGAACAAATGAAGACTAAAGCGGAGTGTCGCGCTCTGTATACGATTTTAGCGCCTTACAAGTGCGAACACTTTTTAGCGCGGACCCGACGTCCATATAATTGTAAGTCAATGACTAAAACAGAAAATTAATTCCGATGCAACAAGATTCGAAAATGTTGCAAAGTAACGGACTTTTTTCTCCCCATTTTGCTATTCTGTTTCGAAATAATAATATTACGTAGTTTTTTGAGGATAGGCAATATCGCGACTGTTGCAAAATGTAACGTACACCGCCGCGACGACATTATAGGGAATTTATTCATTTCAGGGGAACTAATACTGACTAAAAAAGTCATCGTCAGTTCTCCAAAGTTGTGTATAAACTTTCAGGTTCAGGTTCTTTATTGTTATCAAGTAATTTTCATGTGTTTATCCACAGATAATATTAGGCTATTTCTATAGTCAAATTCGATAGTCGCACTTGAACTCGTTTTTAGGTTTTTGTTCATAAATGACTTAAATAAAAAATGGGTAGTATTTATTAACTTAATGATGATTAAGCAAGATACAATTTCCCCACTTTTGAGGGAAATGTTATTCCATGGCATCATTATTTGTATATTTGTGTGCGTGCCGACGAGCGTAAATACAAGTTGCTTACGCCCACATGAATTTGATGTTTGCCTCACTTGTGACAGTTCGTTTGATATGAAACTAACATTCTATACGTTATTATTCTAAGCATGCAAATGCATGCTGTTCAATAGTGTAATAACAAATTTATTTATCTCCACATATTTTGGTTACAAAATATTTGTAACAAAATCAGGTTTTATTTAATAAAGGATAAAATCTGCAGGAGACTGGAATATAAACTAGATTAAGAGATCTGTGTCTTAGGCTTCCAGGCCTTCCAACTCGAACGTATTGCTATTAAGTTTATACCAAACTTGACTTTTAAACTATACTATAAACATGCAACAAAGAACAAGTGAATAAAATATTGTATGAATGTGTGCAAGCGTGTATGAGTCTATGCATGCATGTATGTATGCGGAGGAAAGTGTTCTGTATTGGTGTTTCTGTACATATGAGAGTGCGTGTGTGAGAACTCGTGTATTTCCAGAATCACATCTTCAATTCAATTAAAAAGCAATTTCTTTTTCAAAATAAACGTAACATGTTTGCACTGGCATTATATTTTGATACATCTTCAGTTATACCATGTTTTAAACAAATTATTATTATTACATATGGGGTTAACTTCTACTAGACAAATATATATCACTAGCTAAATAGTAAAACGAGATTTGTTAACTGCTTCGTAGCCATAACTGTTAACAGTGAATAAGTGACTTAGTAGTAAATTGAGATTTATAGACGCTGTAAATTCTTTTAACTGGCTGCGCCGTCGTTACTTCAAACTTGTTAATTTATTATTGGATATGTTACTATTGAGAACTACAGTTTCTTAAGACATCGCTTAAGTTTATTTAAATCAGAGCTATAATTGAGTTTTCTCTTTTATACGAATTGCACTATTATTTAAGTAGCAGTAGAGACCCTTGTGAAAGAGTTCGTCCAGGGAAGTACTGCTACCTTACCTATTCCTACCTCCAAGCAGTATAATGTAAGCTTTATTGCGTTCCGGTTTTAAAGGTGCATGTGAAATTACAGGCACATGGGACTTGTCAACTTATGTCTCCGGTTGGCGGGCGCAGTGGCAGGTCTCGGAGATTTAAAGCTACGAGTGGCACTGTAAATACTATGGACAGGCGTGTCGTTTATCACCAGGCGAACTACCATAAAAAAAACTTTTTTTTTTATTTTTTTTTTTATTGTGACTCGGCAAAATGACTGCACCGCGCCTGATGGAAAGTGCGAATACAGTCCAGAGATGAGAGTAACGGATGGAAAACACAAATATCTTCACTCCGTCACTATCATTTTGCCGGTCTGGCCAAATGCTTCTTCACACTACGTTTGAAGGACCCGATGTTGTAGAGGGGAGGGAATACATGCGCCGGGAGTTGGTTCCACAATTTGAT